TTCGTATTTACATAGTTGATGATCATTCCAAAATTAAACGCTTCAGCAGGAACGATAAATGTTCCACGACTAATACTTAGCATCCAACCAAGCTTGTTCCTTCAATCATTTTACTTGGGCTAGACAGTTAGATATTGTAAGTATTCGAGTGGCCTCAGTTCTTGATTAGCAGTCATGCAAACAAATCATTTTATCTCATCTTGATTTCGTCTTGATGAACACCATTAACAGCTCTATTAGCTCCTCTCCTCAATCGTATATATCTTGCGAGGATTTCGAAATCCATTTTCAAATGGTAATCCACAGACGGTTGTTCGAGTGAGAGAATGGTTCTTCTTTTAGTGTGTCACTTACTCTTCAGCAAACTATTACCAGAAAATGTAACATTAATAACCCACCGAAGCTTTTAAGAGATCATATATTTATGTACTGTCAATTGAAGATTGCCTCATTTTGGAAATTAAATCAACGAATTTCGTGTTCATACCGTATGCTTCGATTAGGCAACTGCATTTCATGATAGTCCTACACTGGTTTCATAAGCGTTTCTTGCCAGTTATTCACTAATATTTAAGCATATAATTGCTTCATTAAATTGTTTGGAAAGCGAATATCATGTCCATTCAGGGTAATTACCACTTCTTAGAAACATAATCAGCTACTTATTACAAAATTTTGATGAGCGATCGATGAAAAAGCGATCAGAAACAGAGAAATTAACTTCTTGTCGAAACTGTTGCTGACCGATACTTCCAAAGTTCTAGAGATGGTAATGCAATCTAGTAAAAACTCTTCATAGGCTCTAGACTTCCATTGAATTATCTGCCTTCACTGAGGCTCTTCCGTTCATCTAAGCTGAGTGATTTACAGTTAGTACCAACGGGTTATTATTTGAGTGGGAGAATAGTTAGTGAAAATTCTTGGTATGAATCGCATAATATCTAGTGTTCCAATGAAAAACTAAACCAGTAATGTAGGAAGCACTAACAATGTCGTATTGACGTACTTACTTGCTCCTATTAGGAGGCTCTTTCACTGAATTTCATCTCGAATATAAGCCATAATCCGGAAAATGAATGCTCTAATTGATTTCTGACATTTCTTGCTGGCAGCTACAGTGGAAAACGTTGAAACAAGGTTGTGACCGATAAAGTTACCATGTTCACAACCATGTTCTCGTGAAGAAACATATTTATAAGCCGAATTGAATGTATTTCGACTGTTTTAAAAATCTGGTGAATTTTGCTCGCCATTATGTGTCACGAAGTGCTCTTCGTATGCTTAGAATAAATTTTTAAAAAGGTTAGACTAAAATGCTGCTTATTTTCAGNTTCAGTTGTTACTGCCATGAAAAGGTATGAAATGAAATAAGAAATAAAGTTTGATAGAATGTTCTATGAAGGCAAGTGCAATTCGGGAATGTTTACGAAAACCGTCTGTCGTCATCGAATATTCGATAAAAACTCTCTAAACGTTGAATGATGCATGAGAAAAATTTGGAAATTCAATTTGAAATGTGCTGTTCGCAACACTTTATTAATATTCAACCAACTTAATTGAAATTTTTTTCGAAAGTTTGTTATTAACACAAGAAAATGATCAAAAATTGAAATAACTGAGCACTTCTTCCAATTTGAAGTGTTCAGTATTTCATCGATAATCGATAAACCATTCGGGCAATTCGATATTTTTGCCGAATCGGAAATGCCTCGTAATCTCCGAACTTCAAACAATATCTTCAACGATCTTACCAATATTCACCTCGTTATCATTTGGTGTCACTGCTTCCAACTGCTGTTAGAAACTCATTAGAAATGAGGTTACAGTTTAATCCACAAAGATCGCGTTACAGTCTAATCTAAAATCATTATTGATTTCGCTGTCGCCTCTATTCATAAGTTATGCTCATACGACATAATTATTATTGCTATCGTTTGTGTTATTGTCATTATTATGTTGGTTGCTATTAGCATTGCTGTTACCACTAGTGATGGCATTCGTTGAAGTAGATCAAGTTAATGAACACACAAGAAATTTTAAACGTGCTTTCAGGAGCAATTCAAAATGGTCATCGCTCAACTATTATCCACATGCATTTTGCTTTCACCTGCTATCTGCTCATCAAAACCACATATTTCGCCATTCTTCGGTAATGATATCCAACCCCTTATTTCTTCTTGCATCTGAAACCGATGGAGTTTCAAACTTACAACATCTCCAAAATGATTCGCAGACCATATTCATGATGAACAGTCAGTAGTCAGGAATTAATGCTTTCAGTTAGATGCTGATCACGAACCGCACTTGAGAAAACGATTTGCATAATGCCAGTGATGAAGCAAATTGATACACTCTACTGAAGTGAGTATGAAAGGAAACATTTATAGGAACGTAGCAAAGAATTTTTTTAGGAAGCTGAATTATCGTGAGAAATTTCTTCTATCTCCACTGACCTTCGGCAAAAATTCGGTGCTGCGTTGTAGCGTTCGGTTCTAGTCATTACTGAAAAAATGTCTATTCAACTGAAACTCGCTCGATTTTTTCAGGATATGGCATACCAAAATGGATGACATTAGAGCAACCCGAATCAGTTGACAACGATCCACTTGCACAAGCTTACAACGGTGCCGTTCTAAAAAATGCTTGTAAATTATGCAGTGATTTTGAACATTTAATTGAAGTTAGATGGTCAAATGAAGATGAAAGATTTGAAAATCGAAACAATTTAACGATAAATGCATAATTCCACTGTCACTGCGGTTTCCTGAAAATTCAAGCATCTGCAAAACACGGGGAAGTACTTAGGAAACTTCAACTAGAATTCGTCTCATATCGTTCCCCGCTGAAAATTGAAGCAGCAAGTCTAGAGTACTTCAAGGCAATCAAAAATATTATATAATACTGAACTCATTGCCTATTATGTTGTTGTACCCGAAAATTTTCGGTACACTAATGTACTTGCCTTGAAGGCCTGATAGAACACTGTACTGTAACTGAGTCATCTACAGATTATTTTGAATAGTCTGTGAAGAATTTTCTTGCACTGCATTTGTTCTTTTTCGTTAATTGTAATTTTAGTATATCCGTAACGGTGTATGTACAGCAGGCACATTGCAAAGAACAGTTCTACTTTTTGATATAACCACACACTGTTCATTGCCTTCCTGCTTCTGAGGATTCAGTCAGTTGATATTTATTCGCAATTAAGAACAGAGTTGTGAGGAAGTACGAGAGGTGAAATTCATTAGAGAAGCTTCTGGCTTTGAGAAAAGTACTATTGTTGAGTGATTAGAATTGAACGAGCATCGACATTATCATTGACCATTTTCAGCGATTTTGAGTGATCGTTTGAAGGATATGATGGAAGGAACGAGTAACAAACAGTGGTCGGACGAAACGATGAAGAAAATGAATGATGATGATGACTCAACAATTGAACGCAATAAATCATCATACAGAGTTGTTGGTATCAACGCGAATGAGAAAAGAAACACATTGAGACGCCTTGCGATGAACGGTGCAAGAGGTTTTGGACGAAGATAGTGTTGATGCATTCTGATTATTGCTTTACTGAACTGATTGATACAAGTGATTGATTCATCACTGTTCCTTGCTTTTCATTCAATATTCATTTCAAAACAGTATTGCTAACACAAATTCAATCGCCTATGATAGATTTGCATACATAATTACATTACAAGGACGTAACTTCTATTTCTCCAAATAATGCTGTTTTGTCAGTTAAGTATCATTCGTGAATTGAATGCAGTCGCATAATTAGATGTCGCATTGTTATTGTAATTCATTCGATGCGATCTGCTTATTCTTTGAGTGTAACAATTTTGAATGATCTCAACTTTTTCGAGTGCTTCTCCAGCGTCAATTTTACTTCCAGTTCACAGATATGTATAATTTGTTGATAGCAGATGATCGTACGTAACAATAAATGAATTAGAGTAAAATGTTATTGATCTTTCCCAATTTTGAATTTGACGCATACTGAAGGTGTTTGAATTGTGAAGCACTTCCATTTATCAGTTGATTTCAAGTGTAAATATGCACAACTCAATGGATGGCTCAACAACGAGAATGCCCAATGCTTGAAACGAAATGAGTATGCAAGCGAATAAGCTGAACATTCCATGGCTGAACGAGTAACTTCAAACTCATTTAGACTTTCTACAGAAATTTTCTTAGTAAAACTATTAGATAATTAATCGAAAGAACCTTTTAAATCTTGGCTTCAAAGTGGATTCTTTAGCATTTCAAACGTTACACTTACGATTTTCCACGATCTCAACTTTTTGAACGAACACAGCATAGAAGTTAAAATAAATTCTTGATATTCGCGCTATATTCTGTGAAGAATCATTGACAAATAAATGTGTCTCACACCGCTGTATTTATTGCTTCAATTACTTGTCTAAGATAAACACTTATTTAATGAGTAAAAGCGTCTTACCAATGTACGTAAACAATATTGTCAATATGCAAATAAGGCGTAAATCATGAGTTTCATCTCATTAACTGAGCAATCCATGGGATTATATCAAAACTGGGGAAAATATGGCAGAACACATTGATAGACTGAACTCGACTGTACTCAACATCGATTCAGTCCGTGTACTGGGAGAAGTGGATGGTAGTTATCTAGCAATTATGTTAGAAATAGAAATTGCAATAATTTTGCCGTACGTTGGAAACAACTCACATATCAGATTGCAATGGCAAAATTTGTGACTCTATTAAGTGGCTTTAACAGTAAGCGCATGAATAGACTGGATTTGATGCCTTTTTTTCGATGCGTTCTGACTAATCAATGTCAGGTCGGTGCTATCACTTGAAGGATGGGAATGCATGAAAATGTGATTATACTAAAAGAATTACGATCATTCTTCATCTGTTTTGAGCAGCGATCAAGAAGTGATACTTTGGTGATGGTTTTCGGGGAGAGCATTATGTGAAACGCATTTAGAAATCGTTTTCATTGTGCAAACAGAATGAAATTAGAAGTGGTTTTGTTTATTGCGCTTGTTATTGACGCGTCCTTTGTGCATGCTGATGATTCAACTCAACAGCCGACCAACGAAAAAAAGTTAGTGATCGAGAGGTCATTGTTTGGAGAAAAGGTACTAGAGCAGGGTTTCCCAATCGGGGATCCTCGGTCCCTCTGGGGGTCCGAGACGGCATGCCAGCGCGTCCGAGAGAGAGTGCGGTGAGAGGAGGTTGGAGAGTGGGTAAGATGAGAGGTGCGGGAGGGGGTCAAGATGAGGTTTCATTTTTTATCCATTGAAGTAGGCAAGGCACCTCGGGTTGTGAACTCAGCCTTCTACTGCCCACCTTTATTTTTTGAAATACCTTCGTTTCGTTTTGCTNGGTGTAGGGGGTCCGAGGACGTCTTAAAATCTCCTAAGGGATCCACGGGGCAAAAAAGGTTGGGAACCACTGAACTAGAGAATGATAGCGTGGAACGTTCGATAATGAAAATCCTTTTTTCGCGACGACCTATTCCGCATATCGCGTTAACCCTTTCAGAGCAGTTGTTAACAGCTCAGCTGGAAACTGGTATGTTAGTAATGTGGAACCATTCTAAATATGGCGAATTTTCTAGAATATGAGACTTCAAAATTTTTTCAGCTATTTATGATTGCACGATATTTCACAAAAACAGTACGGTTCTACGACAAAGATTCATACTGTTTTTGTGAATTGTTAAGTGCAAGAAGATGATTCGAAAAGTCTATTGCAATGCAGTTAGTAATATTACTGGTGTATCGCAAATTGGCTCGCATACGCCTAAGTTGTAGTTTCAAAAGATTCCTTCGACAGGTTCTTTGTCTTGTAGAAGCATCACCATTTAATTGGATAGTGTATACGTTCTCGCGAACTTTGAATTTCTTTCAGAGCAGACAAGGAGGATGAAAGTCCATCGCCGCCAAAAGTCAAAAATTTATTTAATGGAAAAGTAAGTTGTTTTTTTGTTTTAGTCTGAACATCGTTCGTTCATTGATGAGTCACAAGCTATGCTGGTGCAGAATCATTCACTAAGCCACACTGACTGATTATTGGAGCTTTCAAATGTTTAATTATGTTAAGGAATCGTTCACTTTTACTATATTCGACCAAAAGATCCAAATTCCACTGCCGAAAATTACTTGGACTTGGGAAGGTCTCGGTACAGGAAGCGATCAAATCATGAAGAAGCTTCGCAAAGATCCCTCAATAAGAACTTATGCTGTCATCGCCGCCAATATTATGTAAGTTGCTCTCAATAATTCATAAGCATTCTCTATCGAACAACAATAGGACTCAGACTGTGTTTGGTCAACCAAGCGAATCAGAAATCCAGTTGACACTGCATCGTGCACAGATCTCATCCAAACAAGATATATGATTTAAAAAATTATTTCGTCTGTTGAATTCATTGGAAGAATACGATTTATACTGAGTAATGGCACAATCTGTTGAGTAGTGAAAGTTAAATTTTTGCAAGTTGTCGCTTATTAGTATTTTTTTATTGACTTGGCTATTACTGATAATTTGAATGATAATTGCTGAAAATATTTCGAATGATTTCACTTCCGTTATTTTCATTTTCAGTGGGCTAGTAATATTTTATTTTGTGCTGTTCGTCGCCAATATTTATCTGCATTTGAAACATCGACGTGCAATTGCAGCAGCAATTAATGATAAACCGTTACTTAAACGTAGTCGTTCAAACAGATTCACTGCGACACTTCAGAATGCTTCTCGAACGCAACGGTATCAATCGTCATTAACAGTGCAAACTGTTAAATGACGCGTTAACTTTTTCATTACCATTTTCATCACCATCCAGGTTTTCAAGACGGAAATTTGTATCAGTTCTGAAGAATGCGAAATATATTTGGATCAAATGTGATATTATTGAGTAATTATGAAGTATTACTTTTAGGCATACGTCCATGATTAAACTAGACAGCGACGCTTTGGGGTCGAGTCACCCCGGTGACATCAGGCTGGAACAAGACTCACTGGTCAGTGAGGTATTCGATTCAACTCCAGTTCCGAATTCATCGGGAAGCGCTCCTCAACATTCGTAAGCACTTAGTTCATACTTAACATGGAAAGCAATTCGATTCGTATTCAACGATGGTGTTTAATTTCCAGTTCGGATGCTCCATATACAAGTAACGTTCGTGCAAAATTACTTAATGAATTATGTCATGCTCATATCTGCTGGTAGCATTT